TTTTGCTGTCATATAGCAATTCGCTTGCCTTTCTTTCTTTCCCATGCTCACTTACACTTGGCTCGGCTGACGGTTGGACTACCGCAACAGTGGCTCGCCCCGCACCACCACCACCACCACAATCGAGTGGTTGGCCCGCATGGTTGGCGGCTGGCAGTGGTTGGTGGCTGGCAAGTACTTGCCAGCAGTTGTTGTTGGCTCGCCCAACTATTAGAACTTTCACTTTAGGTTCGCCCCACTGGAAGCCCTCCAATGGCAATTGTATAATAGGATCAGCATAGAGTCTTAAACTGTGTCAACGGCGGAATTTCAATATGAATGCTCGAATCTTAACATAGTTTTGTGAACATAACTTTTGTTGACAGCCAAGTGGGTAATTGCTTATGCAGAAATATAGAAAAAATAATATTATAAAAATCAAATTTAATTTTTATGAAACTATTTGGCTTTCAGGCAGCGAAGGTTAAGTTTTTATTTTTTATGTAAGATGCCACAATTTGATTTGATTTTGTTTTATTGTTTTGCATTGCTTTTATATTTGCTTATTTTTTTATATTTTTTGCAGTATATATTTTGTTTAATTTTTTTCGTTTGTTTTTTTTTTGTTTCTATTTTGCAATTTTGCGAGACGCGCCAAAGTCATTTGAACCTTTGTCAATCTCTATCTACGCGATCGCATCTATGGCACGTAACTGTGCGTGTGTGTGTGTGTGTGTATGTGTGTGCCCTGACTCTTACCACTATTTACATTAACATTAGAGCTTTACTTTTGCTGCGTTGTTGTTGCGGCTGCTTCTGCTGCTGCTTCTGACAGCGCAAAGTGAAAGTTGTAAGCTCTATGTGTGTGTGAGTGTGTGTGTGGATGTGTGTGTGTGTGTGTGTGTGCTGAGCCGAGCTTAGCTCAACGAAGCTAAGCTGACACATCGCATAAGCTCATCAAGAGTTTTGAAATACTATACACACACACACACACACATGCACACACATACATATGTGATATACAAATATGGACAACAATTGATAAGAATATCAATTGAGCTGAAATGAAAAGTGTTTTTCTTTGCTTTCGATAATCAAAGCGTTATACGACAATCATAACAGCAATTAGAAAATGCAAACATTAAATAGACAACAAACATACACACACACACACACACACACACACAGTTGTTTAGTTGGCGTTGCTCATACGCCGCGTTGCACTTTCGAAAAGCAACGGCTCAAGTGCATGTTCAACAGCGGGAAGCCAGAAAGAAAATCTTTGTAAAGTTCATAAACCTTCTTGCGAACAAAGCGACTAACGAGATAGCAAAAGCAACAACAGCCAAATGCAACAGGCGATTTTTTAGCAACAACAACAACAGCAACAGCTACGAGTTTCAACTTCTACTTAAAGCAACATGAAAAGCCATAAGTTTTCCAATTCAGCAGAGAAATTCAGCAAAGCGAGCAAATAAATTTATATACATATATACATACGTATATACGTATGTATGTGTATATACATGTATTACTGTTTTCCTTCCTAAATTACTTCTGACAACGTCAATGATTACAATAATATATAATCATGATGGATGGCTGGTAATGATCACGATGATGATGATGATGACGATGATGATGGAAATGCTGCCTGCCTGCTGTCTGTCTGGCCATGCTTATAAGTAGTGCGGAATTTCCACAGTCGCTTAGCGTACATTCAACTGCAAAATGAAAAATTTGTAAAGAGAAAAGTCGCGAGCGGGCATAGCAAGTGGTCTGAAATGTTAGTTAATTAGCAACTTTTGACTTTTATCTCTGCTGCCGCTGCTGCTGCTGCTGCTGCTGCTGCTGCTGCTGGCATTGCCTTTCTTCTAAAATGCTCGTCGGAAAATGTATAACAAATACATTTTGCTGCTCACTGTGGAAACACTGAAAAAATAGAAAAATAAATGCATTTCTGCATCATTTGGGAGAAAGTAAAAGCCGAGAATTAAATACCAGCCTGGCGGCTGTGGCTGCCTCTGGGTATTACTAGTTGGCTGACTGGCTGACTGGCTGGCTGGTTGACTGGCTCACTGGCTGGTCGATGACTTACACGGAAAGCCGGCGCACGGGGCGTATGCGCATTGTCTGTGCTCTGCGGCCTGGCCGTGCCGCGCGGAGAAAACTCTCAAGAAATGCAGCCAAAGTAGAAAACCGACTGCAAACCGAGATAGCTGCAAGTCGTTGGCGTTGTCGTTGTCGTTGTCGTTGTCGTTGGAAAGCCGCATCAGCAGCATCTCGTATTTCATTGGAGTCTGGTTGCTGTTGTTGTTGTTGCTGTTGCAGTGAGTGCACAAAATGCAGCAGCAACGCAGTCGAAATTCTTGCACTCGCCTTGGCATTGCATCGCATTGCATTCGCGCAAAAGTTTCACATTGTATTTATTCATGGCCAGCTTTAGCCTCAAGAGGAGATTGTTTAACTGCCTGATGGATGCTCTGCTATGGAGCATGCCTTGGAGCTATTTGCGTAGCATTTGGAAAGGTGGCCCCAAAAGTTCAACAGCTCAGAATTTCAAACAACATTTCTTAGCGCAGCTCAGCAAACAATAGCAAAAAACTGGGAGAAATTTGAGTACATAGTTAAGCACTTTATAGATATAAATCATAGCAACATAATAATAATAATACTAACTTAGAAGYTAGTTAATACAACTACAAGAATATTATCTATACAATTTACTAGCTTATCATTCGATAGCTCTGCTCGTTCTGCACCATCAGAAGTTGGCAGTGGCAATCGCTTGGCCTGGCCCGTGCCACGCCCCTAGCACTATTGACAAGAGTAGGGCAGGCTGAATGCTTGATTTGACTTCCACCGGCTTTAAATATGCAATGCAGACACTAAAAATCCCACTGACCTCATTAGAAGTTCTCACGCAAAGAACAGATTGTATAGCCAGAACGAGGCGAGCGCAAGAGAGAGAGAAGGACGGAGGGAGAGAGAGACGGCGATAAAGCTGTGAAAAAGCGAAACGTCACGCTTAACAATTTCGCATTTCATCAAGTAAACAAACAAACAAACAGAGAGTTGGCCAAAACAAAGCAAGAGGAAAGAACAATTCAAGAGGGGCCGTGCCCCAGAGGGGGAGGGAGGTGCAATCAGCGTAGCTGAAAGAAAGAAAGGGGCCGTAACGAAAGGAAGCACAACAAATCGTTTTCAATTCTATGGCCAATTATGCGTCAAATCCAGACGAGATAGAAAATGACAAGAGAAAAACCAAAAGAGAAAAAGAGAATCTTAAAAAAAAAAAAGAAAAGAAAAAAGAAATGCAAATGTTGATTCATGGGTGATAAGTGTAAGGCCTGAGAACCGGTTCTGTGGCTACGAAAGTGCTTCAAACGGAAGTGAACATTGAGCACGAAGCAGAGAAAGAAAAAGATGAAGAAGAAGAGGCCATGGAGAGCAACTGACAAAGAACCAATGGCGTGCACTGAGATAAACAACAACAACAACAACAACAGCAAAAGCAACAGCGGCGCGTCTTTGGTCAAATATAGGTCAAAAGAGAAACTAACGGTAAATGCTGCTACTATTGTTGTTGCCGCCGCCGCTGCTGTTGCTGACAGACAGACCTTTCAGTTCGTATGCAGAGCAGCAGCAGCAGCAGAAGCAGCGGCAGCGGCAGAGAAACAGATCAGCAGCARCAGCTCAGATGATTTGGGTTACATAAAAGGGCGCGAACAGAAAGTAGAAACCAGAAGACGATACTCAGCCTGTGTGCGTGCGTGTGTGTGTGTGTGTGAGAAGTTGTCTGACGTGAGTTGGATACACACACGACACACGCACTGCTTGAACGGGCGCGCAGACGCACGAAAAACTTGCTGCAAAGAAAGTGAAACTTTTGTGCGCCGCTCCCCCGGGCAACAATTTGCGCCACTTCTGCTGCGGCGCCCGCTCAGCCCGTACGCCCCCTAGCACACACACATACACACACGCACACATGCACACTTATGCTGCTGTTGTCTGGGTTTGCCAACAGCGGCGCATGGGAAACGTGGAACCTCAGCATGTCACGAACAGAAGGTTGAGGTTGTTTTACACAAGCCTTTGCTATTATGCTTAGCAAATCTGATATACATATATATACTCATATATATATATTTGCAAATTGTTTCGCTCATAGTTTTGGGTTGGGCTAGGTTATAGCTAGACAATTAAATGAATCAAGCAGAGGCTGGGGATTCATAAAACTGTCCACAGATCGATATCGCTGTCCTGGCCTTGCCCTAACCAGATGCATCTCACGATGAACTAAATATAATATCTTTGGGGTGTAAC